GCCCAGGCTGGAGTGCAGTGGCCAAATTTCGGCCCACTGCAACCTCCACCTCCTGGGATCAAGCAGCTACTCCTGCCTTGGCCTCCCATGTAGCTAGGATTACAGGTGCCCATTACAACACCTGGCTAATTTTTTGTATTTTTAATAGAGACAGGATTTCGCCATGTCAGGTAGGCTGGTCTTGAACTCCTGACCTCAGGTGATCCACCTGCCTTGGCCTAACAAAGTTCTGGGATTACAGGCGTGAACCACCATGCCCAGCCTGAAGTTTTTTTAATGTTCAACAATTTATTAAACTTCTATATCTGCTAAAAATGTTCCTGAGCATTTAAACACGTACTAGAAAATGAAAATGTATACATTTTGTTGATCAGATTCTTTAAGATATTTGGAAGTTCTTTGGTCATATTTCATCACTACTGTGTGTTTGGTTAACCCCTTCATGTTTTCATACATATTTTTATACCTCATCTGGAGTTATAATGAACTTAGCAGACCTATAAGAAAGAGAAGCCTATCTCCAGCCAGAGTGCTGATGTGTCACTCTGGAGTGGGATGTGTCTTCTGGGTGGCCCTGCCCTGTCCGCCCCCAGGGCCGGCCTTCTGTGTGGTCCTGGGACTCTGTGCTGCCAGCACTGCCCGGCACCTCTTATATCTGCCACCTGCCGCCTCCCTTCTCCACCTCTGTGTTCCTTGTGTTGGGTTCACGGAATGTTCTGTCTAGATTTGTTTTTGTCTTTGTTATGTGTCTTGCGATCTTTTTTTTTAAAAAAAAAAAACATTATTTTGTTGAGATAGCATCTCACTCTGGCCTATGCTGGAGTGCAGTGGCACAATCATGGCTCATTACAACCTTGACCACTTAGCGTCAGGCAGTTCTCCTGCCTTAGCCTCCCATGTAGCTGGGACTACAGACGCACGCCACCATACTTGGCTTATTTTATATTTTTTTGTAGAGACAGGATATTACTGTATTGCCCAGGCTGGTCTTGAACTCCTGGCCCCTAGGGATTCTCTTACCTTGGCCTTCCAAAGTGCTGGGATTACAGGCATGAGCCACTGTGCCCAGCTTGCTTGTGTGTGTGTGTGTGTGTGTGTGTGTGTGTGAGAGAGATTACAGGCACGCGCCACCACATCTGGCTAATTTTGTATTTTTAGTAGAGACGGGAGTTTCTCCATGTTGGTCAGGCTGGTCTCGAACTCCCGACCTCAAGTGATCTGCTCACCTTGGCCTCCCAAAGTGCTGGCTTTACAGGCATGAGCCACCGCGCCCGGCTGTTCTTAGTGTTTAAAAGGATTGCAGCTTGGCTGGTGAGGGTCCTTCAGGAGGGCTTCGCTGCTCCTCTGTCCTGGCACAGATGTAGGAGGAGACCCTGTGTTTTCAGACTCCAGGGACTCCAGGACCCTACTGAGACATGGAGTCAAGAGCTCTCCAGGGTTCTTTGAGTGGAAAATAGTATCGGAAACCACCATCAGCGTGCCTGGGCTTGCCTTGCGTTTTTCTACTGTAGTGCCGTGGGGGGAGGGGGACCATTGCCACCACTGTGAGGACACATTGGTGTCTGGGGAGGGACGGATTGTTACGGCTGTGGGTGCACCTTGCACGTCTTGTGGACGTAGCTTTGCATGCTGATCTTCCTTCTGTGCCTACTTACATTGTTAACTGGGTTTCTACCCTTCCTCTTCTCCTTCGTATTTCTGTGTCTTATTGACAACTAACTGTTCTGTAGTCACTTGGTTGACAGTTGCCAAACTGCTTTCCAAAAACATTTCCACCACAATCCTGGTTTTTCGTGCCAGCCACAGTGGCCTGAGTATGCTCATTATAGCCTTGCCAGCGCTGGGCGTCTCTGTGTATTGTAAACACGTGTGATCGTCACTCTTATCTCTCCATCCCCCATAATTAAAGATGTACTGTGCTGTCGCTGCTCTCCTTACCTTGGCCTTGAGGGAGTCGGCTAGGGTCATGCAGCTCGAGGGAGAGGAGGAGGGCCAGGCACTGCCTAGTGAAGTAGTGGGCGGCCATGGCATGGGCAGGGCTCCAGAGAGGAGGCTGGCAGCTCCCAGCGGACCTTGGGGCCCAGCTGGCCTGCCCCTGTGCTTGGCGTTTGTTTTTGACTGTTGAGATGAGGTCCTTCACCTTAGTCCGTGCGTTCAGGACAAGGCAGCCACCTTGAGCCTTACCTCTTTCTCCTCTTTGTCCCACAGTATGACGCCGTGCCCATCCAGTCCAGCGTGGTGTTATGTTCCTGCCCATCCCCATCAATGGTGAGGACCCAGACTGAGTCCAGCACGGCCCCTGGCGTTCCTGGTGGCAGCAGGCAGGGCCCTGCCATGGATGGCACCGCAGCCGAGCCTCGGCCCAGTGCCGGCTCCCTGCAACACACCCAGCCGCCGCCGCAGCCTCGGAAGAAGCGGCCTGAGGACTTCAAATTTGGGAAAATTCTTGGGGAAGGCTCTTTTTCCACAGTGAGTATATGCTGCTGCTGCTTGTCAAATGCATGTGACTTCCTTGGGAGGTTCACCTTCCTCGGGTCTTGCCAGAGACTCCCACACAAGGCTGGTGTGCTTCTGGGCAGCAGGTCTCAGGCCACTTAAGGGGTGTTGCCTGTTGTGAAGGCCACTTGAGTCTTTGGGGGCTGGGTACCCACCAAGCAGATCATGTGATGAATGTAGCTAAATGTTTAACCTGGTTTTGTAGATGAGAATGTTAAGATGTATTTCTTGATGGTCTGGAGAGGTTTCTTCCGATGGAGTAAGTTTCATTTTAACCTGGCATCAGCAAGTTGCATTCTGTGTCCTTGTGTCTCACTGGCAGGGCCCTGGGAAGCTTTTCTTTTCCTTAGATTGAAATTTAGTATCAGTATTAGTATCTCTCCAGAGTTTTTTGAGGACATCTAATGACTCTTTATTTCTCTGTTTTGTTTTTTTAAATACATAAAACAGTACATTCTGGACATTTGCTGGTGATACAGTCTCCAGATTCTTGTGTTCTGAGTTTCACAAACAGAAATACTGTCACAGTACTGTCAAGCCTTGTTACCTTTCTTGGAGTGTTTTTTCCTCTGAAAGCAAAGAAATGAAGGTTCAAAGCAGCTGACATGGGACCCTTTGCTGAATTGGGACGCGTGAAACTGTGTGTGGTTGTGGATTTAGTGAAGGTGGTAATGGGTTCTGGGGAGGTCTGAGCAACTCGGGGTGCAGTCTCCATGTGGGCCTCTGTAAAGAGACAGATTCCAGCACTGCCACTGTGTATGTGCTGGGGCCGCTCCAGGGAGCCCTGGGGGCTCCTCACTCTTGAGAGCTTAGGTGAGTTCCTGAATATTTCTTTCTTGCCTGACCTTTGTGAAGAAATCATAATGTGAGATATATTTTTTTTCTCTTTTTTACGTATATGAAATATTACAAGATGCAAAGAAAAACATGAAATGTAGCTTACCCATATTCCTAACATTGTTTTAGTTAATGTTAACTTTTGTTGCCCTTATGCTTTAGGTTTTTTAAATTGCACCTTTTATGAAATAATTTTGTTTATAAAAAGATTGTGCCATCATGAAAAATACCTTCAACCATGAGTTGCTAGGCTGGCATTTCATGCAAAGCTTTGGGACTCAGATCCTTTCATAAAGAAGAATCTCTCTTTGGAAAGCCTTGGGCATTCTGCACGGCTGCTTACATCAGTCCAGTGAAAGAAGAGGCCTCCCCTTTTCCTCAGCTTTCCTTTTTTTTGAGACAGAGTCTTCCCCTGTTGCCCAGGCGACCGTGCAATAACATGATCACAGCTCACTGCAGCCCTGACTTCCTGGGCTCAAGCAGCCCTCTTACCTCAGCCTCATAACTGGCTGAAATTACAGAAATGCACCACCAGGCCCAGCTAATTTTAATTTTTTTTATAGAGATGGGGTCTTACTTTGTTGTCTAGGATGGTCTTGTACTCCTAGGCTCAAGTGATCCTCTCTCCTCAGCCTTGCAAAGTGTTGGGATTACAGGCGTGAACCACTGTGCTTGGCCTCTTTTACTTCCTTATATTCCTTTTTAAAATTCAATTTAACTTTGTTTTATAATGTATATATTTATCCTTTTAGAAACAGGATCTCACTCTGTCACCTAGGCTGGAGTGCAGTGGCATGATCATAGCACACTGTAGCCTCCACCTCCTGAGCTTAAGAGATCCTCTTGCCTCAGCCCCCTGAGTAACTAGGACCACAGGCATGTGCCACCATACTTGGCCCTTACATTTATCTTGACTGAAAAATGAAGCCTTATTTGTGAAGTTGCCTGTGTTCCTGGGTTCCCGAGGTGGGTGGAGAGTAGGCATTGTCCTTCCTGGGGCTGCAACTCGTGTCTTTCTGAACATGCACTAGGGGAGCCCAGGAGAGCACTGTGAGCTGGAGGCTCCTTCCTGGGGCTGTTCCGAATTCACTGGGTCTCAAATTACGTGTGTTATCCTTAGTTCTTTCTCAGCATTCCTGAAATAGAGATCACCCAAAAGTTGATTTCCAGGGGTGGGGTGGGAAAGGACAGTGATAGTTACAAGGCTGGGCAAGAGCTAGGTGCAGTGCTGGAGACCCCAGGAGGTCCCCTGAGAACGGTCACAACCTCCAGGGAAGGACATGTCATGTACTATTTGCTCATGAATTGTTGAGTTTAGACAACAGAAAGATCACATCAGTATCCCCTTAGAAAGAGTTCCACTGAATATTGGTGCTCGTTAACTATTCTTTCTTCCTTTTTTTTTTTTTTTTTTTTGAGACGGGGTTTCACCATGTTGGCCAGGATGGTCTCGATCTCTTGACCTCATGATCCGCCCACCTTGGCCTCCCAAAGTGCTGCGATTACAGAGAGCCACCGCGCCTGGCCTCCTTTTTTCTGCATATGAAGCTAGCACGTGCTCTTGCGGAGAAATGTGACATTGCATAAACACATAAGCTAGAGATGGGAGCCCTGCCCGGCCCACTTCCCCTCACTCCCGGCTCCTCTGGGAAGATCTTAGGTACTTAGACTCCACAGAATCCAACCTTGTTCTTCCTGAGCACTATAGGCGTCTCACAGTTGCTTTCCAGGGTCTCTTCTGATACATCCTGTCAGGAATCCTGCCCTGATTGCAGCTCACAGCCCGGGGCCAGTTGGACCTGGCCCTGTGACCTCCTGAAGGTCTTCCTGCCAGCCCCCAAGAATGCAACTACACAGGTTTCCTCTGCTCCCTGCCCCTCAGGCTGTCCCCTGCTGGAGTCTTGGGAAATGCTTATGTACCACCTGGTGGAGAGGGAGGCCTCCTTGTGGCACAGCTGTCTCAAGCGCTCTGGCTAAACTGTGGGCCCACTAGGAAATCCAGTCTGGTGCCTCTGGGTGTGCCCCAGGCTAGTCAGAGTGGAGGGTCTCTCCTGTTTGGGATGCTTTACTGGAGTGCTGTGTCTCAGAGGTGGGGTTTGAGTGTGGGGCTCAGCTCAGCTGCGGAGAGGACAGGGCAGGAGGCCCGCGGGCATCCTTGGAAGGTGGCTCCCTCTTGTGGGCACGCAGGGCCGTGCATGTTGGTTTAGTTGCCTGTGTCCTTTACAGCCAGGTTCTATTCGTGGTATCTGCGAGCACCATCCAATGAAATGTATAACAATTATTTGAAAAAAAAAAAAAAAAAATCAGGGCAGCTTTTACAATGAGTGTATACTAGAAGGACATAATTTTTCCAAGGAAGCCCATGTGCCCCACCACTTATGGTAGTAGTACTCCTGTGTCTTCCTGCTCTTCATGAAGTGCGTGCCAGTTGAAGGCGCTCCTGAATTCATACTTTCGTTGCACCATGAGGACTGTTAGCAGCTGATCAAGAAGCTTCTGGAAACAGTAGAGACATTGATGTGTTTTCTGTCAGTCATTAGAACACATTGACACAACTGTTGGCTTTTAGCTCTGTTTGTTAGCACAAGACCCAAAATATTTCACTATAGGTTCAAACCTTCAGTGGGGACAGGAAGCCTGCGTATGGGGCAGAGGGACTTGTCAGAGTCAGTGTGTCCCGGTTTTACATTGTGTTTTTCTTTTTTTCTTTTTCTCATTTTCTTTCCAAACCAGGTTGTCCTGGCTCGAGAACTGGCAACCTCCAGAGAATATGCGAGTGAGTATGGGCTCCAGGGAGCTGTGCGCCTGGGAGCAGGGCCAGCAGCTCCATGCAGGGCAGCCGGGGTGGCAGGACCGGGGTTTCTGTGCTGACTTCAGGATGCAGGACACTGTTGGCCTTAGAGACCTCTAGGCTAGTGTGTACAGTGTTTGAAAGACTTTAATTTGTACCATTTACCTTTGTGAGTCATGTCTTTAGTGTGTTTTGTTTCTAATTGTAAGTAATTCACTTCTCTCTCACCTGAAGTTAAAATTCTGGAGAAGCGACATATCATAAAAGAGAACAAGGTCCCATATGTAACCAGAGAGCGGGATGTGATGTCGCGCCTGGATCACCCCTTCTTTGTTAAGCTTTACTTCACGTTTCAGGACGACGAGAAGCTGTGTATCCTTTGCGTGGTTGGTGCCGTCTGAAGCCACACCAGTCACCCCCTTCGCTTGGAATCAGATCCTGTTGTATGTTCTCACAAGCAAACCCACCTCCCTGCCAAGTGGGGTCCCTCAGGCCACTGATGTTCAGGGAGGCAGCCAGGCAGCGCCAGGGTGTGGCTGAATTTCTGCCCAGGATATCACCTCCCAGAGAAGCCATTGATGTGGCTCCAGCACATTCCCCTCTGGTGCGGCTTGCTTGGATGGTGTCCCTTGCTCCCCTAGTGTGCCATCTTTTCTGTTTTTAAACCTTGGCTCAGGAATCTGGGAGGCAAGGCCCCGTGAAAGTTGGGTGGGCCCCACCTCTGCCCCATCCAGTTCGCCTGTGGGCCTGCCAGTGGCTGGGCTGGGCTGGGCTGGCCACACTGTCCTCACCCCCAGCAGGTGCAGTCTGCATCTGCTCTTTCCCTCCCCTGCCACCCTCCAAGCTGGCCCAAGTGTCGTGGCTCCCCAATCCTGCCTGGAGGGGCCTGAGTCCTCCCACCTGCACTCCCTGTCTCTCCCGAGCACCTGGCTCTTCTGTGTTAGAGCTCTACTCCGGCCTGCTCCCACTCTTAACACCATCCTGCAGCTCCTTTGGCTGCCAGCTGAGTGTGTGTGCTCTCCTTGTTTGGAGGTGCTTGTCGAGTGCAGGGTGATGGGGATGTGCTGGTATGCCAGTGACGGCTCTGCCCTCAAGAATCTTAGATTGTGGTGGAGGAGCTGGGTGCGCACACACTCTCTGTGTCAGAGACTTCCCAGCAGCAAGATGTGCTGCCGAGAGTCTTAGGGCTGGGCAGGAGCTGGTGGTAGTGTGGGGCTCTTGAAACTCCTGGGCAGGAGCAGGGGTGTGGGGGGGGTCATGAAACGCTGTGGTGGGCTGGCCCCCTGAGCCGTGGCAGCCTGGCACTGACTCTGGACTTCTGTTTGTCGCAGGGAATGTGGGATTTGCTCTGGCTAGGCCAGGCCGGAGAACGGGTGGGAGAGCAGGGGCAGGGGGAGTGGTCGAGGTCTTATGAGCAGACTTGGCAAGAGAATGGAGTCAGGGGCGGCTCCTGGGAGTTGGCCCTCAAGCCTAGTGGACAGTGGTATCTCCTGCTGAACTGGGAGAGACTGGGGCGGTGATGGGCTGGCATTTCATGCATCCGATGGTGTCACCATTCAGGTGTGAGTGGCTGGTTAGGTGCTGCCAGCAGAGCTCCAGGAGGACTCAGGGCCATGAGGAGTTTCACAGCAAGCTGGCAGGCTGCCCAGAAGATGGCTTGTCTGCGGGTAGAGCCTGGGTTCCCCCAGTGCAGAGGTAAACTCGAGGAGGGGCCCACCGAGGAGACTGTGACAGGGTGTTGCCCCTGAATTCGAAGGATAGAGGCCCAGAAGCCACCAGATCGCATGGTTTCTGATGGAGGGTGCTGGCTGCCTGGCGAGGGGCTATGAAGTGGTCAGGTGCACAGAGCCTGACCCATGGGTCTTCCCTGTGCCAGTTGCTGATGGTGGATGGGCAGTTTGTTGGGGGGATTGTTGAAGGAAGAATAAGAGGTGAGGAAATGGAGACGGGTTCGCCCATTGGGGCGGGTTCTTCCCAGGGATTTTGCCTAGAGAGGACCAGGGGAGTGGCTGAGCAGCTGCCACATATATGGCCTGTGGTGGGCTTTGCTGTTGATTTGTGGAGGGTATTAGAGAATGCTGGCTTCTATGCAGGCCTTCTGTCCTCCAGTGTCATCCCTGTTCCTACCTCTGTCTCCCGCCCTCAGTGACCTCTTCACGGTATGTTCTGTCTCTCTCTCACCTTCAAGGCTGCCCCAGCCCTTCTCATGGTATCCTGGCACCCCACAGGTCTCTGCCCTCTTTGAGCCACGGGAGTCCCTCTGGCTTCCTGCAGAGCCCTTGGAATGCGGTTGCTTGTTGGTGAGAGGCTGTAGCAGAATTGGACACGCTTGACCTCTCCCATCCTCTCCTCCCAGGGGCTCAGAGTCCAGAGGAGAGTGATCTTGCTGTTTCCAAATGGGATTGGCCAGAGCAGTACAGGTGGTGGGAACTCCAAGTCTTTGTCCAGTGGTCCATGTTGCTCTTCGTCGTTAAGTCAGATTCCAAAGCCCGAGGAGGTCGTGAAGGCCCACTCACCCCTGATGGGAACGAGACCCCTCCTGGTATCCTCAGTGTGGGTTGTATTTAGAGATGGACCTGGACAGGGGCCATTTTGGGCAGCCTGGGTTTCTCCTCATTGTCTTCTTCTGGGTTTCTCCTCATAGCCCTGAAGCTGCAGGCTCATCCTTGGTGGGAGATGATGGTATCCTGGCAAACAGAAACCAGAATGAAGCAGGCAGGCCAGCCTGACTCCAAGCATGAGCTGCCCTTCCTGGCCTCAAGGGCCACTGCCCAGGGTGGGCAGGGACTTGGGTCCCCATGTCCTGGGCTTCCAGTGACTGTGAAGTATTTGGAGCCTTCCTGTAATGGACATAGACATTTGGCGCTTCCAGGGGAATCTGTATATAGGATCCATTTATTGTTGGCCTTAAGTCCTCTTGGAAAAGGAGGCTACAAATGGTGCCATCACAGGACAGCGGTGCCTAGAGGAGGGGCCCTCCCAGACAGACTGCATGAGTGCAGAAGTTTACGAAATGGCTTTTGTCTTACAAAATGTGTCATTTGGCCAGGTGCGGTGGCCCACTCCTGTAATCCCAGCGCTTTGGAAGGCCAAGGTGGGCGGATCATGAGGTCAAAAGATTGAGATCATCCTGGCCAACATGGTGAAACCCCATCTCTACTAAAAATACAAATATTAGCTGGGCATGGTGGTGGGCACCTGTAGTCCCAGCTACTTGGGAGGCTGAGGTAGGAGAATCTCTTGAACCCAGGAGACGGAGGTGGCAGTGAGCCGAGATCACGCCACTGCACTCCAGCCTGCGTGACAAAGTGAGACTCCATCTCAAAAAAAAAGTGTCACTTTATCCATGAAGGAGGGTGCTTGGAAGGGCAGTGCCACATGTGGATGCACAGCACAAAGAGCCTGGGTCTCAGTCAGGGCAGGGGCTGCCCCACTCTCCGACCTCCGCTTCCCCTGTCCCCAGGATCTTTGTGCATTGAAGCCTGCACATGAGTTATATGCGCTTTTTGGTCAGGTCTGTAGGCCGTCTCTAGTGGTTCCCTTTCACTGAGGCCGTACACGCGGCATGGGCCATAGGGGCATTCGGGGCTGAGAGGTTCTGTTCACCTTGCCTGGAGACACTGTCATTGTGTTCTTGATGAGAAACCCCATACTGGTTCCACATCTTGGAGTGAGGGCCTGGGATTCCCATCAGATCCAGTAATATGACTGTCTTGGGCCATACGTACTTTCAGTTTGCATTTAATTAAAAAAAAAAATTCTTACCAGACTTAAGGTTAGTTTCTGAAAAATGATTTTTAAAATAAAAAAACTGGCCAGGCGTGCCTATAGTCCCAGCCACTTGGCTTGGTTAAGGTGGGAGGACTGCTTGAGTCAAGGCTGCAGTGAGCAGTAATTGTGCCCCTGCACTCCAGCCTGGGCAACAGTAAAACCTGTTAACAAAGAGTTTTACACTTTTTCTTAACTGCACAATATTCAGATTTCGGCCTTAGTTATGCCAAAAATGGAGAACTACTTAAATATATTCGCAAAATCGGTTCATTCGATGAGACCTGTACCCGATTTTACACGGCTGAGATTGTGTCTGCGTTAGAGTACTTGCACGGCAAGGGGATCATTCACAGGTAACCTCGGGGGTGGCTGGGTGGTGTTTGCAGGATGTCAGTTCAGTGATCACGGCCAGTGACCATTTGGCTCACAGGCCATGGCTGATGCCCAGATGGTCCCCACCGTTGAGGTCAGCCTGGTTGGAGTGCTCCCTGGACGGGTGTGACTGAGATGCCTACCAGCACCACAGCATGAGTGCCAAGGCGAGGCCACATGTCCACGGAGCCATGGCGTGGAGAGGCTCTCCTGCAAATACCATGTCAAATGGTTGAGTGTCTTTCCTGGCAAGCTAATGATTCTTTATCTTTTTCAGCTGTAGCTTCTGTGGGTACTTACTTCTGGTCTCATTTGCCATGACTCTCAGAAGTGTGCATGGCTGTCATTTTGAGTTAAAAATGATAGATTATACTCCAGTTAAAATGACGGAAGCAGCTGTGAAGTGGCGTAATCCCTGCTGTGTACAGTCAGCACTTGTTTACTGTGAGCTTTAGGCCTACAGTTCTGGTTGTCGGTCTGTAAAGACCATAAGCATTCATTCATTCATTTTGTCTTCAGCAGAATTTAGAGTACGTAATAATGTTGCTGTTTTAAGTATTTCTTCTCAAATGTGAAAATCTACTTTTACAGGGACCTTAAACCAGAAAACATTTTGTTAAATGAAGATATGCACATCCAGATCACAGACTTTGGAACAGCAAAAGTATTATCCCCAGAGAGCAAACAAGGTGTGTGAGTTTTATTTCTAGCAGAGCCTGGGTCTGTGCTTAAGATGGAAAGCCACTTCTGAGGAGTGTGTTGCATTGTGTCATCTTCATCATTAACGATAAAGGTGTGTGATACCTTGGCTGTCCTCAAACAGATCTTGAACTTTCTCTGAGGAAGGCCCTGCCATGCCAGCAGGTCTTCCTGAGGGGGCCCCAGGCAGTGTGTGTTGGTGTAGAGGGGGAGGTCACTGGTTCTCGGCGCCTGCTCTGACTCATCCTCCCTACTTGTCTTCCTGGACAATGTGGGGTGCCACATTCACCCAGTCACCCACGTGCAGGACGTGGAACCAGTGGTCACCTCCTGGCTCTTCCTGCCTGTATTGCAGTTAGTTTTTGGGCGTCCACATCCCTGTACCTCGGTGTCCTCCCTCCGTTACCTGTCCGTCTGTCTGCCTGCTGGCCACGGGCATGTTGGTCATCACACAGCCTCCGAGCCCTGTTCCCCAGGGTGGTTAGCCTTGGACCATGTTGTAATAACTCCATGGGAGATGTTGCTGAAAGTTCACTTGGGCCAGAGAAGTGATCTAGGTTGTCCTAGCCAGCCAGGGGCATCTTCATGCCCTTTAGGTGCTTATTGTGTGGAAATCATAAACTCTGGAGGTATAAAGAATGGCAGTTTAAATTCTGAAGACTACTTCAGAGTGTTGGATGGAGAGAAGATAAAGCCTTGGGATGAGGTTTGGGGAAGCCGAAGGCTATTGTGTGCATTATAAGTGACCTTGAAGATGAACCTCGGGGGATTGCTGGAGTCTGTCTGGGTCAAGAGGCTGGGTCCAAGAGCCTCCAAGTGGTGCAGGGGCCTCTGCCTGGACTTGGGGTGCTTGTGAGAGAAAGGCCTCCATAGAGAGCTCTGTGGGGGTCGAAGGGGCTGGAGACCAGTTTGGAGGGGCGTGAGGGCAGGTTTGTTGGTGGAAGAAAGATTCAAACAGAAGTGACCGAGTTGTAGCTGCTCTCGTGTGGAAAAGGGGAACCGTGAGCACAGAGTGGTGGCGGTTCAGGCTCGTCTGCATGGATGGCGACCTGGCCCCTAGTAGCAGGAGGAGAGCACAGCTGGGTGGAGAGCAGGCCGTTCAGTAGAGCAGGCGCTCAGGGCTCAGCTCGGCTTTTCTGTTTCTGTGGAACCGGCCCTGTATTCTGTGTGCTGGGAGGCACCCAGCTGGTGCCCGTGGGTCTCTCTTGGCACCTTGCGGTAGTTGCTTTTTTCCTCCACCGGGCCTTATCTTTCCCTTCTGGGTGTTTTCCAGCCTCTGGGTGTTTTTACACTCAGGGCTCTGTACAGCCATTGAGGCCCTAAGACCATATCTTGGATTTGGGAACTTCTCTGAGAATCCTAAAACATCACCCTGGCTGTGCATGGTGGCTCGCCCGTGTAATCCCAGAGCTTTGGGAGGCCAAGGCAGGACAGTCATTTGAGGGCAGGAATTTGAGACCAGCCGCTGGACAACATGGTGAGACTCCGTATCTACCAAAAAAAAAAAAAAAAAAAAAATCAGTCTGGTGTGATGGCATACAACTATAGTCCCAGCTACCCAAGAAGCTGAAATGGGTGATTGATGGCGCAGTGAACTAGGATCATGCCACTGCAGTCCAGCCTGGGTGACAGAGAGCAATCAACCATGTTAAAAAACAATATTAATAAAAAATAAAACATTACCATTTTGGGCTAAAATTGAAAGTAACAATCAAGCCAGAGGCTCTTGTTTCCTAAGGTGGCTTAGTCCTGCTGCCCTCCCTGCCTTTGGCAGCCCCTTTCCACTCCCCGTGCAGTGGCATGCAAGAATGTGCACCTCCCACCCAAAGCTGCACAAAGCTAGGGAAGTCTTCCTGGCGTTTCAGACATGCTCTGAAACCTTTATCTGTTTGACTCATTCCTGTTAAATAGTAACCGTTTTACTAGCTGGTAATCCTATTTCTGTGTACACAATGTAACCTCATAACCCTCAATGTTGTCTGTGGAAAGTTGAACCAAACAGGAACTTCTGTCTCCCAAGTTT